AAAAAAAAAAAAAAAACCAAAACCAAAACTTTGTTCATAAAATAAGGATTTGAGTGACGTTTTGGATTATCACAATTAGCGTCACTGAATTTCAGAGAATATATCCAGATTATTGTATGAGAGGCCCAGGTGGCGTCCATTGCATAAACAGATAATCTGCTACCTGGGATGTCTGGTACTGGCTGGTACTGGGACAGATGGATTTTAGGTCAATGCAGCCACTGGTTGATGCTAAATTAAGCCCTGTCAGGATGTTCTTTGTTTTCTGAGGTGGGCCTTCTGAATAACCAGGAACAGAGCAGTTTTCCTTCCTACTCCACAAAAAGATAAGAAGTGAGTATTCAGCATGACATTTAGTGTGTGCGGTTTTGGCCTAATTTCGGCAACTTGTTATGCAATCATTTTTTGTATAAGAATGTATGTGTCTGTCCACTCTACCCCAATAACTCCTCAATTGTTTGACCAATTTAACAGCAAGTTTGTCAAAATTTGACAGCAAACTCCAGCCTCTGGAAACCCTGTCTTCTAATCTTTTCACTAAACAGCTTTTTATATTCACTCGATTAGCACTTGTCTGTGGCTCCCCACCCCCCCTGCCACTGTTAGGTTTATCCAATGGGCATTGGTATGTGGGCCAATATTAAATTTGTAGCTGCTAGCCAAAAAAACCTATCTTAACCCCTTACCAAAGGCTCATCACCCTTCTTTCTGTTTTCTCTATGTTTTTCCTTCTAATATACTCTCATGAAAATATTAGAAATTTAACACAAAGTCTAAAGAAAACTTTTTTTTTTTTTCAGCAGTGCCATTAAATTACTTTTCATTTATTTACTCCCATAAGTGCAAAAAAGACAAAGGGTTTTCAGTACAACTATGATTCCTCTTATTTCTCAAAATATTCTTAAGAAACACAGTATTGCACAGCAGAATACGAAAAGGAAAAGCTCAGCTTCTCTGAGGCTGCAGTTTTACTACCATTTGGCAGCAGGATTAACCAAAGCAGCCCCTGCTCCTGTCATTGAATCCTGTGTCTGCTCCAAATGTTTGTGCCATCATTGTTCAAGTAGAGCTTATTTATGGTTTGTTCAGTTTGTGCACAGGGTTTTTTTTTTTCTTTTGGTTTTGCTATAAGCCACAGATCAGCTCCCCGTTTAGCTACATTGGGAACTCAGGCACAGAGCTCAGATTTCTGGTTTTGCTTCCAGAATTAAGGCCTTACTTCACATGTGGCAACATAAGACTTAAGCACCTCTTTGCACACAGGTTTTTGGAAGTTAGTCAATTCCCATGTGCTTATGTGTCATTTGAAACTGTGATGCAGATACTTTGGAAAACTTCACCTTGTAGCTGTAACCTCTAAATGGATGATTTAATTTCTGAGGTAGATGGCCTTTTAAACAGAGTATTTCATCACAGCAATGACACAGTCACATGCAGTCACATTTAGTGTGTTTCACAAACCACTTGTATCTTCCTGAACCTAATAGTAGTCTTAGTAATAAACCTCCAGTGTAATCCTCAGGAAAACAAACAGTGCCACATCTGATTTTCTCTCAATTGAAGGAGTAAAAGATTCCTCAAGAACATGAATAGCAACAGCTAGTTCAACTAAAGCAAATTAACCACCTTAGGAAGGATCTAAAATTTGCGGAGAGATGATGGGGAATGATCTATTTCTAGAGAAATTTTCTTACTATGACTGCAGAAAGTAAGGAGTCAAAGTAGACAACCTGCTGTTTAGAAAGACAACTCCTTTGGAAGAACCACAAAGGTGGAGCTCTGAATTTACACAAATTGATGCTGTTGAAGAGTAGCCTTTTGATTTCCTTGATGCATAGGTGGTCATGTTCCCACCTAAATGTGGCTTATTTTAGTCTAATCACCTCTGTTTTGGCATTCTTCAAGTTCCTATCTCCTGCTGAATTAATATTTATTATACTATCAGGAGAACGAGATTATCTTTCTAGACGGAGAGAGTAAAACTTAGAAAAGTGAGCAGATTCTCAAATCTAAAAAGGGAATTGTACTCAATATTCAACAAGATTTTCCTGCAATTCATTCCAACTTTTTTTATCCTCCAAGTGAATAACAACAGAAGAGATTTTCTGTTTGAAAAGCCTCAACTTATTCAGTGGGGCTTTAATATGTTCTTGAGACTGCTTATGGCTTATGGGAGAATTTATCTGAGCATTAAATGTGAGAAAAGAAAACCCACAACTGATTTAGATAAACTTTAACATTTGTACTTGAGATCCTTTGTGTAGGAGGATGTGCAACACAAAACTGTCTAGGTGCAAAGGGAATGGAAACTTTCCAGATTGTGACTGTACTGACCTTCAGTAGGGGAGTAGCAAGATGTATGCTCTGGGTTCTGGGGCTTTTTTTCTTGAACATGTGAGGTTATTACAATGAGTCATGGATGCCCTTAATGCCTAAATATGATATTTGTCCTTTGCGAGGTTTTTACCCATTTTTTTTGCTATATACCCAAATGCAACTAAAAAAGTCTCATTAAAAAAAAAATAAAGTAATAGTTACTGCTGGTCTAGACGTATTGCTTGTCTAAACTGCCCTGTTGCTGTGTTTAGTCAAAACAAAGTGGGCAGTTTGCATCCACCTAGATTATCAAAACAGTTTGTCTGATCTCATGTTTATAGGATGACAGAACTACTCTGCTCTTGGCTTTATTTGTAAATTAAATAGATAGTGAAACTTTATCTACAGTTAGTATCTTCTGTCTCAGACTGGCTTTTCCTGAGTTTTCCTTAATATCTATTTTTTTCCTATTTATCTCCTCATTATCGTCCTCTTATGTCCTGAAGGAGTTGACTAGCCACATCTTCCAAAGAAAATTTGGTCAGTAGTGTTTTGTGGAATGCTAATTGCCATCTTAGATCAGTTTAACAGACTACCTCCTTACTGCCGGAAAGGGGTTGGTGCTCACAATGAAGCTCACCTTCCAAAGTTCAAAATAAGTAGATCATGTTCCATGGAAGCATTTGATACCTTTGGGAAGCTGAAAAATGTAGGCACTAGCTAGTGATAACTGTGTTTATTTTTTAATACTAATTGTATAGATTTGTGGAAGAGTAGGTACAGGAGTTTCCTTCCATCTCTTCCTTCACTAGCTGAGTTGCATGGCTCCTTGATGAAGCCTTGTGAGGCCTTGGAGAAATGCCTTGTTTCTCACTCCTAAAAGCAGCTTGGGATTAAGATAATTTCTGTTATTTCTATATATCAACAGTCAGACAGGATATAGATACAGTTGAGGTAACACATTTAATGTTTGAGGGAGTACTTTTTCTTCACCTAACTGAATGCTTGTCCCTAAGACAAAGAAGCAACTACAGGTTACATTCTTGGCTAGGTTTAAAGATCCCAGCAGTATTACTGAAACTGCAGATTATGCTGTATCTTATCCTCAGTAGTGCTGACATGATGAATTTGCTAATTTGAGCTGGTTGTATCTCCAGAAACATCTAAGATAAAAATCACAGTTAATATTTGTGCATGTCAGGTTGTTAAGGTCGTGCCTGTATAATTGGTAAGGTTGAAATCCTAGCCAGATGGTCTGGCAGTCACTTATGGTGGTGAGAAACTAGGTAACAGTATTCTTCCTGTAATTTATGGGAGAGAAAAGCAGTGGCAATGGAAAAGCAAGTAAACAGTGCCTTTTCTCCCTCTCTCCCCTTCATAGATGTTAGGGGTGTGTTACAGAGGCGCCATCAAAGCCAGATGTTTTAATGCTGTGGAAGATGGTAAACCGGAGAAGGCATCAGGGAAGGATGACAGCATGGGGAGACTGCCATGCATAAGGCTTCTCGGAGAAGACTTCTGGACATACAGTTACATCAGGTAATTCAAGTGCCATCCGTGCTCCATGATGCACCAGATAATGCACTCATGGAGGGTCACTGCATTCCACCTCCAGAGATCTGCTGTATCACCTTTGCTGTTTCAGTTAACATTGCCATTAGGTTGATTTTCATAAGCACTGGTAATGTGGCAGCCATGCTTTTATTAGCACTTCAACCTCTGTGATTAGCTGGGACTCCTTAAGAAAGCAAGTTTCCTCTGGTTGAGGACAGCTTTATCTGAAAGCAGCCTTCTTCCCCCCCTCTCCAGAGCTAAGAGTCTGCAAAGCAGAGTGCCTTGTTTCAGTTTATCTGTCCTACTATTTTTAGGTCAAGACTGTGATCTTGGAAGCTTGCTGCAGCAGGGAAAAGGGCTGGAATAAGGACCAGTCCCACAGCCTGAGAACCAAAGCCGAAGCCCTCATTTAGCTTGGGTAGGACTTAAGCACCACTGGTGTCCTCTCTGCCTCTGGAGAATTACCTCGGTCCCAGGTTGAAGCCAGACTCAGGATGCTGATGATAATGTACTGTTCCTCAGGAATTTCAGTCCTAAGAAAAAGCCTTTAGTTATGTTAGTCATTCATGTATCTGGGGAAAGGACTATCAATCATTGCAGCTAAGTAGGTGGGGAAAGTTCCCTCATCTCTTTCTCTGAAGAGCAAAGGAATTGCTGGGAATGGAGAACTGGGGGAACTGCTACTAGACTCGAAGAGACAAAGCAAGCAGAAAGAGCCTGGTAGCTCAGGGCAGCTACACCTATTTTTCTGCTAATACAAGCATTTTAGCCTGCTTTTTTTGTTCCTCCCCTCCCTTCCTCCTCATTGCGTGAGGCTTGCCAAGCAGAAAGGGAGGGCCTGAAACTGCTCGCCTTGAGGCCTGGGAGGGGAGGAAAGAGCAGTTTATATTGCCAGATTGGAAGGAGGCTGAAGGGTACAGAAGGGCAAAGGGCAGATACGTGGCTGGGGGTGGTGTGGCACAAGGGAGGGAGGGAGGGATGCAGGCTGCAGAGAGTTAAGGAGGAACACTGGATTAATTAGCCTTGGGAGAATGTATGGTAAAAAATCAATCATCTGTTACAACAGACTCAGTGCAACTTCATCCGGGGAGTCCTGCTTGAAGTCCCTAAACTGGGAGCATCCCCAGCTTGCTCTGCAAAAGTAAACCAGTTACAAGAAAAGCCACACACACGTACATATACAGAGCTCAGTTCCTTATGTGACATTGAACAGTTCCCTATGTGCAATAAAACTGACATCCCCATCAGTCTTCAGGTACGGTATTTGGAGAGCTGACTCAGTTTTTGAACCTGTAGCCCTGTCTTCTCCACGTCAGCAGCTTCCTTAAAATGACACATCAGTAACCTGATAACCATTTTAAACTTCTAAAAGGAGTTTTTAACCTTTTTTTTTTTTTTGGTGCAACTGCTGAAACAGCAAATGTTTCTATGTCTGTAATTATGTGAAGTTAAATGGTGTTTCAGTAGTAGCTATACTACACTAGCTGTCACTGCAGCTAGATGTTGGAAATGTGACACATAGTATTGTTATGTATGATAAATGTCATCACATATGACAGGAAATTTGAAACAGTTTTAGAAATTATATGAATGAGTCTATTGCAAATTCATTTTACTGGAACTGTTACAGAAAATTACCCGCTCGTGTCATAATGCTCTGTTCAGTCACACTTCCTTGATTTTTACTCTTCAGTTCTCAGTTGTGTAAACACCCTACTACAGTTCTGTCATCACAAAATGGGGCTTTTTAAAATCATGTATCTGCTGTTTCTTTATAGGAAATGCCAGACCATGACTGTGCTGGGAGATTTTGAGCTTCGGTCGGTGTCCTGGTACCTGCTGTGGAAGTTTTTCAGATTTCTGTATGCAGAAATACTGCCTTACACCCCCCCAGTGGAAATTTATGTTCTATTTTGTCTTCCTCCTGTTCTTCCCCCGTGACTTTCAATGACTGAAGTCTTTTCGTCGGTCATGTTGTTCCCCGTCTTGCCGTCAGCAGAGCTGCCTCGAGTAGGAAATCCGGCCAAGCAACTGTTTTCGGCCGGTGCCAAACTGCGGGGTTTGCGGCAAGTCCCGTCCTGGCCACCCCTTGGCACCGCGAAGCCGTGCGAGGGGGCTGTGCCCGCAGCCGGCGGCCGGGGGGGAGCGGTGCC